CAGGCATTCACCAGATGGTGTTATTTCAGATCCTCCTGCTACTGCTGCTTGCCCAAATGTTAGACCTGGGAAAAGTGTCTCTCCTCAGTTGCTATGTAGTTTTGCTGTATGTTGTCAAACAAACCTTCTGAAGGAATTATTTCCTTCTAACCCTTATCTTAAGAAAAATTATTTTCATTACAGCTCTATTTTTCTTTTTTCCCCTCTTCACTTTCAGGCAAACAGCAGCAGAGCTCAAAGTTCTGCAGAGATATTTTACGTATAATTATCTGGTTGATCTGGCTATTGATGAAAAATTACACAGAATTAACTAATATTTGGGATTGTCACATATCTCTGATCAAGTTAATGAACATAAATGCTGATCAAGCTGTCCTTGCAAAGAATAAGCACTTGGCATAAGCTGTGAGATCGTCTGACTGCTCCCAGTAGTTCCTGGGTTGTTGTGTGCAGACCCCAAATAATCAGCAGAATATATCTGATATTTCAAGAGGAATTGGCAAAAACATCAACTGTGCTGAAGTGGTTTAACCAATTTCAAAAGCATCCACTTAGCTCAGGCTTTTGCACACAAAGAGGAGTCCAGATAAACTTGCAGCCTCTAGATTACTAAGACACACTGTACAAATGAAAACTGAGGTTGTGCTCAGCAGGAAAACACTGGAGAATGCAAGTGAAAATGGGTTATTTTGTGCTTTTAATGCTTCTCCTGAAAGTTTTAAACTCTAGGTGTATTTCCCATATTTCAAGTCTTAATTGTTTCTGATAAGCTATCAGCAAAAAGTTAATGCTTATATTTAATTAAGTGGCATTTTCCAGAATTACTTTGCCAGCAGTACTATAATTAGATGACATGAGAACAGTGTTTGATACATATGCTCATATTCTTTGTTAACACCAAAAATAGAACCTGTAAATCTGTAAATAGAAAAACTGGATGCATTAAGCAGCAGGGCAGAGCAGCAGGCCGGGAAGGCTGCAGCCATTACCACCTCAGGAGGACTAATATTAATGTCTCTCTAATGCAGCATTTTTAAGCATTTCTTGTGTTCTGATGGGCTTTATATAATTGACCTCTACAAATCATAAAAGATGGTTTAAAAAAGGAATCTGGGAACTATGTGAATTGCTAATACCTCCTGGAATGCTGCCACATTATTTTCATCATTAGGTTATAGCTAACAGTTAGGTCTGAATTCATGTCCCTTAAGTTCAGGCATCTGTGAGGTGGCTGTCGAGGCACTTGGGGAGAAAAGGCAGCCCCAGGACAGACTTCTGGCAGGCAGTTCCTTCTTTCCTGAAACATCTCCAAAGAGGGTGGAATGAACTGTGCCCTGCAGGTGCCCTGTCCTCCTCTCTCTCCTCACGCTCAATGGCCCCAAACTGGATGTTTGAGACAGCTGAAGTTAGGTGAAGTGACCAGACCTTTCCCTCATGTTCCCAGAGGAGAGTTGGAAGTTCTTAAACAATTAAGAATCTATTCTGACTCAATGACTCAGCACTTGGATATCAGCCTGGATCTCTGATACCAACTTTAACAGACCCACCAGACCTTCTTTTGTTATTGGAATGTTGATGCTCTGCCAGCAACATCAGATTTAATGCCCCTTAACACAGTATTCCAGGCTTCTGCTGCAAGCAGCAAGCCATAAAAACATAGGACACTTTGACTCCATACTTTTGCAAATACCTACCTTTGAAGGTTTTCTGAATCTAAAAGCTTTTCAGTTTTATTAGTCCTATAAATAGATCTAATTTAAAATGTTAATGAGCCAGTTATGTAATCCTTTTGGATTTCGGTGAAACTTTTGATACTGTCTCTCCCAGGATCCTTCTGGACAAAATGTGCAGCACACAGCTGGATAAACACATCATGGGACGGGTGAGCAATTGGCTCCTGGGTCAGCACAAAGGGTTACAGTGGATGGGGTCACACCAGCCTGGTGTCCCGTCACTAGTGGGGTTCCACAGGGCCCCAGGCTCAGCCCTGTGCTCTTCAACATCCTCATAAATTACTTGGACGCAGGACTGGAAGGGATACTAAGTTTGCCAAGGACACTAATTTGGGAAGAGTTGCTGACTCCCTTGAGGGAAGAGAGGCCCTGCAGAGACCCAGACGAATCAGAGGGCTGGGCAATCACCAACCATGTGAAGTTCAGCCAGGGCAAGTGCTGGGTTCTGCACAGGACAGGGCAAATCTGGATGTAGGTGCTTCAGTATCCTCTGCAGCATCTCTCCTGGTGGTGCTATTTTAATTGAAATCACCTGCCTTTCCCTGTTGTAAAGAACAGAAAATTAAATATCATGTGCACAATATGAGCAGACTTCTAAAAAGGAAATAATTCTTGTCATTGTTCAATGTTAGAGATAATCTGGGCTATCAAAGATTGTAAGTTAAAAAAAAAAAAAAAGAGTTGCCCTAATAAATGATATTTGTAATTGGTGGCTCTGTAAACTGCCCGTTATGGAAAATCTTAGGAAATATCTTCATGTCTTCCTCAAAGATAAGCATAAACCAATTAAAATGTATTTTTAAAAATTAATTACACAATCTTTTGTTTTCATCTGTAACTTTGTTAGGAAAACATTTATTTACATTCTCAGTGTTTGCTACAGAAAATTCAAACTGCCCTGCCCTCAGCTATGAGCAGGCACTTTACCTTCTCATACCTTCCTTTTTCCAAATGCAAAATTGGTCTCTAAGCCTTCCCAGATAATATTCCTATATCTGAAGGACGCTAAAGCAGGGCTATGCTGTCTGGAGTCAGAACAGTGTTAGAAAATCTCGGGGCAGATTAATGTAATGATAACAATTGTGTTAAAGAAGCCATAGTCCTGTTTGCATTGATGCAGGCAGTGCTTTGATTCCAACCCTCTAGTTCCATATGGAATCATGCTTCTTTGCCATGTTCTGTTTGCTTGGATAAACAGAAAGTTTTATGGTTGGCATCCATCATATCTTAACTGTAAATATAAAATCTGCTCTTTAAATTATTAAAGCAAAGAAACTGCCTCATGCAGCTTCTGTCTTGTTTACTGCAGCTCAGGTTTTAGGACTCTTCACTCTTTTTTTCCCCTCTGTAATTGGTTATGAAAGGTTAAGGAAAAACCTTTATTTCCACAGCAAGAAATGTTTAAAGGATTAAATGAAAATTTTGTATGGTCTCCTCCCACACCACACGGTACTGACCTGCTTTGCATTTGCCAGGCTGTGAATCCTCTGAGGTCTGAACCTCAGCCATTAGGAAGAGCCAGTCTAACCTACAATCCTTTGGGTTTTTTCTTTCCAAGTGGATCAACAACTTGGACTTCACAGCTACTTGCTGATGAGAAACTAATAATGGAGTAAGGTGTCTCTTCGCTCTAATTTTGAAGAATTGTTTCCATGACCACAACTTAGCATCAATAATCAACAATATTTCTTTTGAAGTTTGCATTTCCCCAAGCACCAAGCCTATACTTAGGGTTGTCCTACTATTTGTCCTGCTGATTTGTTTTAGGTTTTCCTCTGCCTTTTTCCAAGCTGGCTTTTATCTTTTTGAACTGACCCCACTCCCTAAATAATGAGTAGCCTTTTAATTGAATTTATTTGGGAAGCATACATTTTAGGCGTGGAAACTCTCTAACTTCACATTGGTGATCTATAAATTAATGCCTCCACTTTTTAAATAAGGGGCAAGAAATATAATTTTACAGAAACTTAAAGCACAGATAAAGTCCACATTTTAAAAACAGAATAATAACTTTGCTGCCCTATATTTTGCTCTCAGCCATGGCACTCAGAAAACCACATACTCAAATATAACACAAAGGATGCTCCAATACATTCACCCAGCACAGGTCTCTGTCCAGGTGCTACATGCAGGGAGAGGAATCTGACCTCAAAGGAATCGTGTGCCAGAGTTACAATTTTTGAGACTACAAATTAAACACAAGGAGGAAAAAATTTTGTCATCTCACCTCTAGCAGCCAAGCTCACCTATTCAAAGAGTCTTTCTTAAAACTGTTAGTTGTTTTTTCACCTTTTCCTACAGCACCACACCCAGGCATCACTTCTTTTTGCATTCCCCTCACAGAATCCCAGAGTGGGTCAGGCTGGAAGGGTCAATGGATCACCTGGTCCAACCTCCCTGCTCAAGCAGGGTCATCCCAGAGCACAGGGCACGGGATTGTGTCCAGATGGTTCTGGGATATCTCCAGAGGGAGACTCCACAGCTTCTCTGGCCAATCTGTTCCAGTGCACGGTCACCTGCACAGTAAAGAAGTTCTTCCTCACGTTCATGTGGAAATGTCTGTACATCGGTTTCTGCCCACTGCCTCATCTCCTGTTGAAGAAGAGCCTGGTCCATCCTCTTGGCAACCCCAGTTTTTGAGTAAAGACACGAAAGGGGAAGAAATTTTGTCAGCTCACTTCTAGCAGCCAAACTCACCTATTCAAAGAATGCCTCTCAGCATTATTATTTTTCTTTTTCCTACTCATTTCCCCTCAGCTACACACCTGGGCATCGCTTCACAAAATCATATCGTCAATTAGAATCCAACCTATGACTACCCAATCTAAGAATCCAACCTATGACTGAACATCATCATGCCTAGTAGATAGCCTGTGATTCTGTGGAGCAGATGTCGCTGGTTTGGAACGTGTGGGGGCACAAACGCACAACGACCCCGCACCGCCCGCAGCCCCTTCCCCTCAGCGAGCCCCGTCCCCTCAGGCAGCCCCTTCCCCTCAGGCAGCCCCTTCCCCTCAGGCTGCCCCTTCCCCTCAGCGAGCCCCGCCCTCACGGAAACCCCGCCCCGTCTCGACCCCGCCCCGTCCTCGACCCCGCCCCCTTCCCTGTGCAGCACCTCCGGCCGCCGGCAGGGGGCGCTCTCCGCTCACACGGGACACCCGGCGGGGCCCTTCGAGAAACTTCCGGAAGCGGCGGGGCGGAAGTGACGGCGCGCGCTGGCGGCGCTTCCTGTTTGCGGCCGCTGCCGTTTGTCCCGGCGGGAGCCGCGGGAGGGGACGGGCGGAGCGGCGGCCACGCTGAGGAGTCACCGACGGGTGAGTGCGGGGCACACGGGCTTGTGGCCGGCTGGACGCGGCCGTGCGGGAGGTAGGGACAGCGGCGAGCTGGCGCTTGGTCGGGCCGCGGTGCTCGGCAGCGGTGTCCCTGGTACCGGGGCCTCGCGGCGCGGCTGGCGCAGGCCCCGCAGTGCTGGAGCGGCCCCAGGTGCCGTGGGGGTTCTGCCTGGCCTTGGAGGGGCTCGGGGAGGGGGTGGCTGCTCAAGGCTCCCCCCGGACTCGGGACAAATGCCGGGATGTTTGGTCCCAGCTCGCACTCTGCCTGTTCGCCGCAAGGCAGAAAAAATTCCGGATTTCTTTTCCTTGCTCACAGTGATGCCAGTTTCTAGAAGGTGAGGGCGATCCTCGGTTCGTTAAACAGGCCTTGTCCTTAAAGCGTCTTTCATCGCAGGGGACTGCCTTGGCGGCTTGTGAGCGTTATTGTGTCCTCCTTTTTTCCGTTCTCTGCAACTCCCTGAAAGGCGATTGTAATGAGGTGCGGGCCGGACTCCTTTGCCGTGCCTGCAGTGAGAGGAACAGAGGAAATGGCCCTAAGATGAGACAGGGGAGATTCAGATTAGATAACGTAAAAAATACCTCACATTTAGGGTGGAATAGGCACTGGAATAGGTCGCCGAGGGAGGTGGTGGAGTCACCATCCTTGGAGGTGTTTAAGGAGCGCCTGGACGTGGCGCTGGGTGTTGTGGTTAAAGGACACTGTTGGGGGGGTGGTTGGACTGGATGATCTCAGAGGCTTTTTCCACCCTTGATCATCCTAAGCCAAACGCGCTGGTTTTCTCCCCGCTGGAAGCAGTTTGTTACGTTCTGCTCAGTGTTTATTTCTCGGGATAGGGGCAGGAGGGAGGTTTGTTGTGGGTGAGGTCGGTAGAGGTCGGGTGTTTTGAGCTCGCTGTTGCCAGGTTCCAAGCTGAGTTGAAAATTGACACTGCCAGGTAAGGGAACACCGTTTGTTGTCAGAATTTGCTGCACTTCAGAGGGGGCAGTGGGCTGGCTTTAGGACCCGCGTTCCTGTTTGCACCAGCACTATGTGTTGTGTTGCTGTCGGAGCTCTCCTTGGCTGCTGAAGACGTGTGCTGCCAGCCTTCAGCTAACAAAGGTGTTAGAAATTATTCAAAATACTGAACAAATCTGTTTTAAAATGTTATAACAATAAAGTGCTACTTATTTGGACACAGTAACAGGAAGGCTGCGTTTATAACAGAGCTAATGTGTAAATTGTCAAGCTTGTGACGTTGCATAGTTAGTGATCAAATCGAAGAGATTTTAGGGTATAAAGTGTCAAAAAGTGGTAAGAACAAGGTGCTGACACAAAGGGAGCAACTGAGATGAAGCAAGGCTCTGCCTCTGGTCCTGCAGCAGAGGTTGCAGTCGCTGCTGCCTGCTGACCTTAATTTTTGTTTACTCTGTGGAGATCCTTGTACTCCAGTTAGGGATTTTATGTTCAGCTGGTGATCAAGAGCCTGGTAGTTAAAATACCACTTAGTTTGATGGATTATGTTGTCAAAGAAGATTTGTTTGGACCAATGAGTAAATGTATTTACAGATCTTGTCTCTGTGATTAATATTTTTATTTTTTTAATTGCAAACAAAATTTTAACTATTGCTCAACACTGGTCTAACTTTACTCCCCTTGGCTCCTGTGCTGGCCTCTCAGTGGAGAATAAGAGTGTGTTGAAGATGGATAGTAAATTAGTATTAAATTTTCTTAAATAATCTCTCTTGGAGGAGAAATTTAAATTGCTGCTTTTATTGGCAGCCTTGTTTAGACTGCAATACTACTAATAATGTCTCTATCTGTAAACTGCAGAGTTCCCCTTGTTCTCCATCAGACTTGTCTTTTTAGTACTTGTGCTTTCAAACTGCAGCAGATTCTCACCCAAACACCTTCTCTCTCTGGTATTTTCTCTGTCTTTCCCACATCGATGCAGTTGGCTAATTTATCTGGGCTGGGCTTGGGAAGAAGGCATGCAGGGTTTTACTTTTGTGTGACATTGAAGTTTTAGTTAGAGGGTTAGTGTGTTTTGCTACTGATTTTTTTTTTAAATAGATAAATAAATTTCTTTACCTACTGTATTGTTTGTTTTATCCATTAGAGGTTTTGCAATGTATGTGGGGAGAGGTAACAACTGAGGTTAAATCGTCATCTTAAGCAGGATGTAGGAGTTCCTTACAGTAACACGGACTGTCCTGAGGAGAAAACACCAGGTTTTTGGTTTGTTGTGCATCTGTGCCGAGCTCTCTGGCGCAGTGAGCTGTGTGAGCTGAGGTTGCGTGGGACGAGGGCGGTGATTGCGCTGTGCCCCGTGCAGAGGCGCCGCGGTTGTGGCCTGGAATCGACGGAAATGTCAGCGCGGGTTGAGCGCCGGGCGCAGCCACCCGTGCGAGCCGGGGCCGCTCTTGGCCGCCGGCTGTGCAGGAGCTGCAGCTCGGCCCAGCCATGCGCTGCACTTCCACACTTCCAGCAGCGCTGCTACTGCTTCTTAACCGTGGAGTGATGCTTTGGAGCGAATTCCTAGCTGTAATTTTCAATTGAACTGCGTGAGGTTTATGTTTAAGCATTGTGCTCCTTAAGTAGGAAGTGCTCCCATTTCTCTAATAGCATTTGTAAAGAGCCTCTCAGTTGTGTCCTGGAAACAATTTCTGTCAAAGCTTTTTCTTTGTCTTACTCAAGCAATGGAAGGATTAGTGAGAAATTACTTAGCTTTGTCAAAACTTGCTGGATCTTGCATATGATGATTGTTTCTTTCAAGATAGATTTAAAATTAAACTGTTGATGAGAGTATTAGTAGGTTTAAATTATATTTTCTTTTTGATGAAATACATTTGAATGGACGGTAGATTCCCCTTACTTTAGACTTAATGAAATAATTCTGCATTATTTATTTAACTGCTAAGGAAGAAATAATTCATGCATATGCATTTCACTCCTACAGTTACTAGTTGTTGGTTTTATGTTTTCTGTTTGTTCTGAATGCAGAAATCCCACTGATACTGGTGAGGACTCAGTACTTATCAAGCATCTTAAAGGCCATATAATAAGTCTGAAACCATTTGTAGCTACATTGCAGCCAGTTTTTATTGAAACTTTAATTTTTCTGGTTAGAAAATTTTTTTCTGTCTTAAAATGTAGTCTGAATCTGTGATAGCCTGTCAACACTCTGAAGAAGAACTTGCTCTTTGCTTTACTAAAGCCTTTTTTTTTTTTTTTTCTGGCTTAAATGAAGTTATTATGACTCCAAAAACACTTCAGGGGAAATGTGTAGAAACTTGAAACTATTTTCTTTTCCCTAAAGGATCATCTGATTGCGTGTGATTATTTTCCTAAAATTTTCTGGGCCTTATCTTTCAGTGGAGGCTTTTGCTGTTTTTAATTGTTTCATCATACACAGATCACATACTTTTAAAAATAAGATACTAGTTTTGCTTAGTATAAAATAGCCTTTTATGGTTAGTTTTAGGAGAGTGACAGTGTTCCAGATATTTGTGACACAATTCCAAATTTGGACACCTGGGTTGTCGTGTTTTGGAAAAATGCTCCTTTGCTGTAAGGAAAGATCATAAATAAGTCCCCTTTTATCAGAGATCAGATGGATAAGCAGGAGAGTCTCAGCCAAGACAGTGAGGGTGGCCTATTGACTGATCAACATCCTTTCCTGTTTTTTGTTAGCCAGTTTGCATTTCTTTCACAGATGAAAATTTTGGATTTCTTCTGTTTCCATTTTTGGTTGGTTACTTTTTTTAAAATGGTTTCTTACTTGTTGCTCTCTGCAAGCTTTCCATGTGCCAGGTAGCAATACAGACCAAGTCCTGTAATTCCTGCCAGAGTTGTGTCTTGCTGCCCTTGGGGAGGAGAGGAGTGGACAGGTTTCTTTGTAATTTCCTGCCTTAAAGGAGTGAGGGTGTCCTGTGCAGGTGTCTCTGGTGTTTGGCTATGGTGGAGTTTTGTTGTTCAGGCTTTTCTACAATGGAACATGAACTGCAAGGTAAAGCAGCCAGCCCAGCTGCCTTCTCTCTGTATGAGCTGGGATAATAATAACTGTATCCAAATCCACTCTGCTGTCTGACATACAAGCAGGATGTTTGCTGTAAACATGAGATTAAACTAAGCTTTTTGGAATGTTCATTTTATTAAATTCATCTCCTGGGGATGCTGAGGGAGTATTAAAATAATGAGCATAAACATGGCTATTTAAGTAAATTTTACTAATTTTAATTATATGGTAAATTGACATTTTTCCATGAAACAATAAATTTCAGGAGCCTGTGAGGTTAAAGTGTGACAGCTTTTCTAAGCTTAGGTAAGTAAAAGCTAAAACTATTGAAGTTGTTAATATGCTTTAGTCTACACTGCACTGTGCATGTATAAGTGGGAGGAAAAATTAACGCTGGTGCCTTGTTTAAATGTATCTGTCAGGTTTATTAAACACAAAACTTACACAGGTTTTCTTGCTCTGTGTTCTTGCACTCAGAAGTAACTTTATTTGTTAGTGAGCATTCCTAATATTAGAAAAATTTTCTGGTAAACTGTGGGAGTTTTTGTGTTATCACAGTGGATTTTTGTGAGTTCAGTGAACTGGGTTTCAGAGCAGGGTGTTTGTTCCTCCAGAGCTGCCAGCAGGATGCAATCCTTTAGGTGAGTCCATGGAAAACAGGCAGGTGCTAGGCCTGGGTGGCTGTGGGATTTGCAGAGGATGTTGATGACTGCCTGCTCTGTGAACTTTGTGAATCAGGAGTTTGGAACTCCATCCCGCTCTCCAGGTGTCTGCTGTAGTCTAAGCTCGAGCTGTTCTGGCATCTTTGAGGACTCTCTGTGCTGCCTGTTGCTTCATGGCCAGAAATAGATAACTTTTTCTGACTAAGCTGACTGCAAAGGTCGCATACCCCTTGCTGTCTGAATTCCCTCCTGGCTGCTCTAAAGAATGTCTTGTTTGGATGCTTTCCTTCATTCCGTATTTAGTTGGGGTGCTGCTTTGTCATCCCTGCTGCTTGGTTGTCTGATTACTTGCTTTTCTCTGTTATTTGATCTTACAGAAGTTTAGAGCTCTCTACATATCTGTCTACTGTGATGTTTCTCATGCTCTTTGTGTAGCTGAGGACTGTGCTGTAAAGAGAGTTTATGAGCCAGGTTTTGGGTAACTCAGGCTGAGCGCTGGGCTGAGCTGTGCGAGCAGGGCCTGAGCCTGGTCATGTGGCCCTGTCACCCGCCTTGAGTCAGTAGTTCAGGGCCACTGCTCTGTAAGCCAGAACAAAGCTGCCTTCTCCTGTGATGACTGAGAAATCTGTAAACTATGGAAACCTTTGGTTCACATAAACATTTGCCTGTTTGATTTTCAGGCCCTAAAGAAGGAGTTGGAGTAGCTGATAGCACACTGTAAACATAGTGCAGTTCCCAGCTCAAGGAAGTACAGATTGTTGTGAGCAAACACGAAGGTCATGAAAAATCTCCTTCAGCTGCTTGTTTTTTTTTTTTTACCTGTCTTTTGTTGTGAAATTTTGAAGATTTTCTGTGGATGGAGGCGGGAAATCAGCTAATGTGGGCTGGCTTCCTCCTGACTTCAGAAAAAACTCTAAAGTGCCTAATTAATGAGCCTTGCTTGTATATTTGGAGACAAATTGTTTGACAGATTGGGTTTTTGGAGAAGATTTTTGTCATGGCATTTTGGTTAGGGTAGTTGAGTGGTTTCTTTCAGGGAGGTATATGGTTTGCATCTTTGAAACACCTAGGCATTTTTACCATGCACATTCTTACTAGACTTGAAAGTACTGATTTTTTTTTTTTTTTAATTGGCCATCTTCTATTTTCTAAGTCAGTTGTCATCCATATTCTGCTTTATTATTAGCTGATAGTGGCTGTTTTCTTGAGTGAATATTTTAAATAGTTCTGTCCTGAAAAGATTGAAGATAGAGGTCTTTTCTAGTTTGTGAATATTGTTGGATTTTTTTGGGGGTGTGTGGCGTGTTTTTTGGTCAGTCTTACTGACTGTTGAGGGGCTAAATATTAGCTGATTTCTTAAGCTGGACAAAAAAAGCTGCAGATGGATCTTTTTGTTGTAAATATTTTGAAAACCTTTTTGCATACAAAAAGAAGTTCCTGTGATTACTAAAATTTCAGCAGTACTGTTTATGCTTTATGATTACTAGCAGATAGAAATAACAGTATATCATAGATAAATTCTTGCTGTCACCTGACTTTGGTAACACATTGGTTAGGAGGAGAATATTAAGAGGTTGTTTTCTTTAGAAAGTTTCTGGCTTGTTTTAATTCCAGACTTTATAGTAGTGGCAAGTAAAAACTGAGCAGTAACACTCACTAAAGACAGAATATGCAATCCCCAGACATTCCTTTGAAACAAATAATTTCTCTATCTTGAAGGAGTTGCTTTTTCGGGTCACAGTCATCTGTTAAGATGTGGTTATGTTGCTTCAGCTTTGCTTTTCTGTCCCAAATTCAGGTTTCTGTTATCTAGGATATACGGTGTTTGTCTTGAGTCTGAACTTAACAGCTCTGCAGCATTGCTTTTAAACAAGCAGGAAAGTTTAAAAAAAATACTGTGTTGAAGTCAATATGACTACCTGTGTGCACAAAGTTCTCTAAGAAAAGATGTGATTTATTTTCTACATCTAAGTTGCTTTTCCTACATGCTTTTTCTAGTTAGAAGCTGGAGTTTTAAATTTTCCCTCTAAGATAGGTATCAGAATTGAGAGGAGAGCTAATGAAAGTCTTGTATGTAAGAAAGGGAGAATATGGCAAGAGCACTTAGTGTTACAGTATATGCTCCTGTCCTGCGGCTTCTTGCTGTTTGCTTACTAGTTTTAGGCTGGTATCTCTTGTTAGGGGGGACTCTGAGCTCTAGCCTTTAGTTTGACTCATACTAGATTCCCCCCTTCTGACTTCCTTTTGTAAACTATAGGTTCCATATCTGCATTGCTCATAAGGCTGGATATGGGATTTGATAACATACTTAACCCCTACTGACTTTGCTCCTCACCTCTGTGTTCACAGAGTTCTAATTGTTTTGTGGGAAACAGCAAAACCAGAGAGACCTGTTGATAGCAAATATCCTGGGATATTTTTGGTAATCTGTATGTTTACATATTGAACCTTGCCATTAGTACATTATTATTGGCATTCTTAATTTTCATGCACATCCCCCAACTTCCTTTGGTGTTGCTCACAGTATTAACTATACCCTTATGGGGGTTTTTGAGGTTATTTACTTACTACAGGGCTATTTATTTACGACACTTACTAGACTTTAATTTTGTGTTTGTGAGACTGTATGGTTAAGTAGATTGCTAAAACCACCCAAGTTTTAAACACGTGGATCCTCCAATACATTTGCTTCTGTAAGTAGTTTGGAGAGGGGAGGAAACATGGCGGGTATCTCTTAAACTAGTTTTGCCATTTGAGGAAATGTATGTGTAACCACAACCCATAATTAGAGTTAATTAAGCTTTAACCTACAGCAGGAACATATTTTGAAGATGTACCAATTTATTTTAAAAGGAAGTCTTTTTTCAATGTTTATATCCCAGGATGTTGAGAGATGAATGTAAAATAAATAAGTACAGTAAATTTGGGTTCAGAATATTTCACTAGGCTATGTCATACTTGGTTCTTTCAGCATTTATGGGAAAGAAAAGGAAACTGAGACTTTGCCTGGGCTAAAATGAAAAACAGTGAATGATTTGAGGGAGGAAAGGTTTTCAATGAATTTTTGTTCTTGATGCATGAGATAAGAAAATGTGACTAATACATTGCTGTATTGTTATGTTCTGAGTGTATTAGGGTGATTTTTCTCTGCAGCAAGTTGATAACTACTGGAAAAGGTCACTGTTTCCTTGTTCATTAAACTTTAAACAAACCAGCAGTGGTAGGATGGAAAGGGGATTGGAAGTTTTGCCAAAATTGAGACTTTTTGCGGTGGTGGAGAGAAAGGCAGCATTGCATGAAGACATGAAACATTCTTGAAACTTTTAAAAAAAGTTATTTTGTCTTAGTGGTCATTTGTTTGGAGTAATGGTCTGTGTAACTGTTCCTTATTCTCTATTGTTGACAAGAAACTGTCAGTATTAAAATTGCTTTCTTAACTTCTGGGTTTTGCAGGGTGCTTGTGGTAGCTATACTAATAAACACTAGGTGCTTCTGCACTTGAGTTGGTTCGTTACTTTGCAGTTGGAGCAATCTTGCCTGATTATGTGCAAGTGGAATTCAGTAGCTTTGACAACCTGCACATTTTTTGTCAAAGTCTGAGTACAAGAAAGGCTTATTGGACTCAGTAAGGTTGAGTTTTAAATTTCCAAGACCTGCACATACATTGTTTTTCTCAGTGGAAGTAATTTTCTGAAGAACAGATGTGAAAGATGGGTCCCTTTTGTTTATGCCCATGTGTGCTTAAGACATGACAGGTGTCATAGATAACAGGTGAACTTTTGCATTCAGAGTTATTCATATCTACATCAAAACTATGATCCAGATACCCTTCTTAAAATACTGATTAAATTTAGCCAATCAGTCTAATCTCTTTCAGGAACTGCTATATATCTATGTGTTTGCATACTTTGTTTCGGTGGGATTAAAGAACATAAAAATTGGAATTAAAATAATTGTTTGAGTAAAGCGTTTTATTTTTTGGAGTTTGGAACATATGAACTTTGTCTTTCTTCGATCAGGTTTGGTACAAGGCAATGCCAGGCTCCTGCCTGATTTTTATGAAGTAGCTGTACTGGACAAGCTTCATTTACAAGTTGTTGTTGTTACAGGACTTGAAAGACTCAGCTGTTGTTACCAAGAAAATTCCTGAAACATGGTGGATTACTATGAAGTTCTGGGAGTGCAGAAGCATGCCTCAGCAGAGGATATCAAAAAAGCGTGAGTGTCACTGGTGTAGATATTACAGCGTTTAGGGGACAGATACAATTACACGGTTTTTGGATTCACACTTTGTTGTCTTCCCACGTTCTTTTGCAAATTCCTGCACGTGCTACTTTATCAACTAAATGTTTGAACTGTGATCTTGGATGATTGCAAAACACATCAACCTAAGTGTAAGCTTAGCTTTGCCTCTCTAAGTAAGAAGTTATGAACACTTTGCCTAAAATGTTTCATTTGAGGATAGGAATTATGTGCACGTGTAATTGTCAAAGAAGGCATTGATGTTAGGATGTCACAGTCAGTGTATTCTTGGAGCTTTATCAACTTCTAACGCACCAGATTCTGCTTGATGCTTCCTTGGTTGGTTGTAGTACTGAATAATTATAGAGCTTTAAGGAGAAGCCCACTGCAGAGATATTTTGGAATGTGTTGCTTAGGCCTCACAGATGTTGATCATCAGAAAGGCACAGGAATAATTTCAGAATAAGTAAAGAACTGCAAACCTACTTTCTAATTCAGAACATATCTGAGTAGGTGGTTCTTTGTGTACCTGCAGGATCTGTTGATCCCAACATTTAGATGCATGATACAAAGAACTAAGAATTTCTTACTTCAATCCCTGACAACCTGTTTAACCTGACAACATTGTGTTTATCTGTATAGCATATTCCATTATTTCAGAGTAAAATATCCTTTGTTTTCCTTCCACTCAGGTACCGTAAATTGGCACTAAAATGGCACCCTGATAAAAATCCAGACAATAAAGATGAGGCGGAACGGCAATTTAAGCAAGTAGCTGAGGCCTATGAAGTCTTGTCAGATGGTAGGTATTTTAAAAGGGCTCTTGAACTGCCTGTCTGTTCTGGGGAATCAGACTGAAAACGTTGATCTACGGTGCTTTGAAGGGGTATTGTAATTTTGGTTCACCATCCAACTTGACTACTTCTTTTTCAAAAGAAAGTAAGGAGAAAGAAGCTTGCAGATAAAACAGAATAAGAGAAATTTGGAAACAACAATTGCAGGATCTCCCTAGATATAGAGCCAAACTACTAGAAACTGAAATTCAGTGTCTGCCAGAAATTTCTGTAGAGACTTCTGTGAATCCCAAGATTAATTTTATCTTAGCAGGTGAAGCCAGTGTTACCATCACTATAGGGATATTGTGTTTTTCTTCTAAAGTCAAGCTAGAACAATTCTGAACTATCCACTGTTAGGCCTACAGCTGATAGATTTTTTTTTTTTTTAACTGTAAACTAGTCTTGACAAAGCCCAAGCATACTGTAAACCTTGCTGAAAATTTGGATTGCATTTGAGTCAGTTCTGTGAATTCAGTCAACTGTGGTACTGAATATAGTGTTTATTTTGAATTGTTCTGAAAGAGGTGTTTAGCCTGAGCCATTTAGTGCAGGAATGCAGTTTACAGTTCACCCATGTCTTTTTGCTTGAAGAGTGTCCTTAACTTTTGCCAATGTTCTGACAAAAGCAGCCTGAATCATAACAAAGTGATTTAAGCTACTTTGATTATTTTCCTCTATAATTGACTGCAGCTGTCTATATGCTATTTCTGAAGTGTCCTTGATTTCACCTGAGACAGTGAGCATGGGAAAGCTATATTTAAAGCACTAGCAGCATCTAGATTACCTTTCAGAGTTCAGCCTAATTTAGTGAGCTGCAGTCTTGTACACTGTATTTCTTTGCTTGGTTTTGATACTTAATTGACAAGAGAGAAAAAGAACTTAATTTATCATTAGTTCATTGTATTCGTGTCTTTAAAGTACTTGATCCTTCTTAAGCTAATTTTTTTGAGCAGAATAAAAATAGGATACTGGTCTGGTTGTTATACAGATCTCTAAGTTCTTTGGAAACAGTATACTGCTAGAAATTTAGAACATCTTCTAAAAGTGCTGCCAGTTTTTGGATCTAGGCCAAATCCTAAGTTACTGGTCTTAACAATCATTTTTGCAGCAGGGATACCAGAATCCTGAGCCCATTGGTTGAGAGTCAGTCAAATGTTCTGCAAACTTAATGAAATTTTCTGACACCATTACAGGCTTGAATTATGACAGAATTTTGGCAGAAAAATAGTTTTGTAAGGGATTACATAAGCAAAGAATACTGAAATTGGGTGATCATTGAACACACTTCCCTTGTGGGAAGCCTTGTGGTTTCAAAAATGGAACATTTTTCAAGATGAATTTTGTCTTTGTGAGCCTTCAGAGCATCCTTGCTGTTTCCTGCCCATGACAGTTTATCTACCTTCCTGCTTTCTTTTTCATAATTTGATGGGTAGGCTAACCTCCTTTCTTTAAAAACTGCTTTCTAGAAAAGCAATACAGATAATGTATCAAGCTTTAGGGGTTTGTCTGCTTGTGAACCTATTTCAGGCTCGTATTATTTGAGATGATAACCATTATATAAAATTTTAATTCCTGTTAGTCAGAAGTATTTTACTTTCCAGCATCTATTTGAGGTAACTGCATGTTCTTCCAGTGATGCAGTTGAAATTTTAGAAACGTGTTTCACTGAAGAGATTCCACTGGGAAAAGCATGATAATATTAAGAGACTAAAATCAAATGCCCTGATTAGTTTTTGACTGATACTTCCACACCAGTGCAAGCAAAGTAAGCTGTCTGCCTCTTTAAGCTCTTCGGGTTCCCTTGCAGTACCAAAGTGCCATCTGATCTTGTGCAGTAATTTAGAGTTCATTTTTTTCTCCTTTCTCATGAATACTATAAGGCTGGTCTGCAGTGAAATTAATAGTCATCCCATGCTTTCTAAAATAATAGAGAGCAAGCAGTTTGAGTCACATCCTTCCATGGCATTTTGGAACATCACTTCATTCTCCATTATTAAGCTAGCAGAAGTGGTTATAATTAATTTTAAGGGTTTTGCAGTCACTCATATAAACACTGGTCTTCCATTTTCATAACTCTCCCACAATGTGCTCAGTCTTGTGCAATAAAAGGTGAAGAGGCAATGGTCAAGGTTTGCAAGTGGGATAGAAGGAAGGGAATGCTTGAGCACTGGAACTGTTCTCCAGAGAGCCTGTTGAATCTTCTCTCAGAAATTGATGCAATCACAGCTTTATTCAGGCAAGATGTAACCAGCTTCACAATTAGATTTGTGTGGAGGAGCAGGCTGAAATCCAGAGGTCCTTCACAGCCCTAAAGCTTTTCATGGTAGCTGTCCAAAGATGAAAACTGCCATATTCTTCTTAAAGGCAAACTTCCATGTGAAGTTTGTCCTTAAACCAAACTTTTGCTCATACTTCAGGACCTTCCACAACTTAATGGTAGTAAAATTTGAAATTCAGTAACTGTTCTTTGTGAACTAAATTGCTTTGGCAGTCCTTGTTAAAGATGTTCAGCAGTTATATGCCAGAACTTCCTTAAATAAACTAGCTTTGAGAAGATGCTTAACTGAGAATACCGGTTATGTATTTTTATTTTTTCACAAAACCAACAAACGTGTTTACTGACATGATGTACAACTTTTCCTTATAGCTAAAAAACGTGACATCTATGACAGATATGGAAAAGAAGGCCTAATAAATGGAGGCGGAGGTATGTTGAGACACAAGTTCTTTGATTTCTCTATTTTCTGTAGCTTTCCTTCCAAGACAGGAATCTGGAAATGCTTGTACTGAGGCCTAAAATTCAGTCTTTTGAAAATAGAGATTACAACTGTTTACAGTTTTTCTAGTTATTATGAAAGGTGTTACTGTTATCAAACAGAGAAACTATTATAAAAAATAATGAAGTAATGTGTGTACTTAAGTTGAATGATGTCTGAAAGAGAGGTTTTGGAAATCATTGATATTTTTAGGTGATTCAAGTATCCTATAAGCCTGAGCTTTGTTATTAGTAAGAATATCTGAAGGTAACTGAAATTTAACTTTTTTTAAATTTTTTTTTTTTTTTTTAGGTGGAAACCATCATGATAATTCGTTCGGTTTTGGATTTACATTCCGTAACCCAGATGATGTCTTCAGGGAGTTTTTTGGTGGAAGGGACCCCTTTTCATTTGAGTTCTTTGGTAAGTGATCCCCTGGTTTTAGTTACGTGTATCTAATGTATGGCTAAAACTTTACTCTTACAAAACAAACATAGCTAATGTAGTTGTATTAGAAATAGTTCTAAAAAGGAGGCAAACAGCTGGTATTTTGTATTATATTTGAAATCTTGTTTCATACCTGTTTCTTCGTTAATTTTATAGTATAGAACAGATATGGCCTGCCCATTCATGCTTTGTTGGAAGGCCTGGTTTTCCAAACCATAAAATGATATCTGCAGTGTCTCTAAGTTGAAAGGAAATAATATTCAACAAAAAAATGCATACTGGAATTTCCTTTCAAGAATTTGAGCAGGCTAACTTAGTCTTTTGGACTTCTCTCTTTTGATCTGTAAATAAATTCAAAAATAAAACTTTGAGAGCTTCTGAATGGGACAGCTTCACTGTAACTGTTACACCATAACTCTGTGTGAGCTTGTGTCCTAGCAGGACAGATTTTCTTCTACCAGAAGAGGAGCAGTTGCATACATAATTTAGACACTCTCCCAAATTCATGTCACTTGTTTGCTTGGGGTATAGAGCCCCTAGAGACCCAGATAAAACAGTTCTTGAGGCCTGAATTCTTCATTTAAGAAGCATTCATTAAAGGAAGTGATATGTAATAAAAGTTGTCAAAGTAATCTTTTTACCCTCGTGCTGAAGGTCTTCTGGCTTGTGACATTGCTTGCTCTAGTGAAGGTCTTTTCAGAGGTGCTGGGGTTCTTATGCAATCTGTGTGCTCAGCTCAGCAAAATGCTGACCTATAAAGCAGAACAGATCCTGTGTTCAGTATTTACTGTGAGGTAGTTCCATACTGAAAACTGCAAGGAGTGTACTTGAAAAACCGGACTTTCTTCATGTTCAGTATGTAGATATTGATTTATCTCTATAATAATGTTTGTAAATGATTTAATGTTTTTTAAAGTAGTTTATTATCTTTGGCAGCATTAAGGAGTAATTCAGCTCAGATTTTAATTATATCTTTCTCTGGTTTGCTATTTCAGGATCATCAGCTGTTAGATGACTAATGAAGGATTAGAAAAGGAGTTGAAGGCTAGAGGTTGAATGCAGTAGAAGGCTAGTTGATGAATTAAATGAGTAGCTAGAGGAAGAATCTGGTAGAAGATAGGCAGCTGAATTGGGCAGTTGATCCAGTGTGAAATCAGCTGAAAGTAGGAAGGGGAAGATTGGAGAAAGCATCTAACAAAATACTGATGGTGACATGGTCACTGAACTGGGTACATGCAACTTCTTCACTGTCTGCAGTAGAATAAGAATTTTAAGAAGTACTAGATAAGGATTTCAGTTTAGATGAGTGATCTCAGCACTAGTTAGGACACATCTGGAGTACTGGTCCAGTTCTGGGCTCCACAGTAAAAGAAACAGCTACTGGATAGAGTCCAGTGAAAGGCCACTAGGATAATTACAGGAGCTTCTCTCACATGAAGAACAGGTTGAGAGAATTGCTGTAATTTTTCAGTATAGAGAGGGCTCAGGCTGAGAGTTTCATCAGTGCATTGGGAAGGGAGTGGAGAGATCAGAGGCAATAACCACAAATGGAAGCCCAGAAGTCTCTGCCTGAACTTAAGGTAGCACAGCTGTACTATGAGGGCAACAGTGTTGGAGCAGGTTGTGCAGAGAGGTTGTGGAATCTCTATGTTTGGAGATAACCAGAAGGCATCTGGAGTGGTCCTGGAAATCCCACTGCAGTTGAGCCTATTGGATCGGATGAACTCTAGACATCCCTGTCAAACTCAATTGTTTTGTGATTGTGTGGTAGAAAACCTAGAAAAGTCTGTGCAAGATGTTGAGTAGGAACCTAGTGTGGAGGAGCTGGGAGAGAATGTTCAGTTCTTTTGTTAATTTTTTGATTGAAGATCTATTAAACAAAATAGTTGGTTCTCATCAAATATCTTTATAGTAAATTGTATAGGTGAGGTGTTCTAGCTACTAGTAGGAGACTGACATAGGTTCTGTTTGATTTTGCTTGTATTTATTTTAGCAACACTAGCAGAATACTTAACTTGTTGTCTCTGAAAATGTCAGTATTCATGATTAACTTTAAAGCTATGAAGTTTAGTTTTGCTGTTAAATAAATGATTGGCTTAAAGAAAGCTGAGGCCTTGCCTTTTGGGTTCCTTAGAAGGAAGGCTGTACAGCACAGAGCTGGCCAGCTTATCAAATGGAGGTACCACTGCTGCCATTGTTTCCATGGGATACTGCAGCTGCCATAGCCCCTCCTGTAGAGGTACTGGTCAGTCTTGCCTTGGAGCACCAGTGGACTTAACAACATACCTCTCACTAGTGATCTAGAGAGATATTCTCCTGCTTAACATCCAGATTTATTTATTTATTCAAAAGCAGGTTATCTACTTCATGTATTGATCGTTGTCTTTGTCAGCTTGAAGATAAGAGTACTGAGCACAGGCTCTGCTTCTTGCCAAAGTTCTGGCAGTGTCAGCAGTGTTATGTGCACCCTGATTAATGAAAACTAATCGTTCCTAAGCTACCTCTCTACTTTATGTGGATAGTTGCAGTGTCAGTGACCTAAAACCCTCAGTTAAGCTTTGGATTTTGAGCGTAAGCTCTTGAAATTTTTCTAGTAAGAAGGTTTCAAAGTGAGCACTTCTTCTTTTTTCTTTAAGATGTTGAAGACATTCTCTAACATGGGTAATTGTGGCTCCAAACAATTTTTTCCCACAAATTTCTGTAAAAAGTATTTGAAATGGTCTTCATACATACATGCATGTTTCAAGATAGTACAATATAAAAATGTGTGCTTTCAGCTGAATGTAGTGCATTTTATAATTCCAAAAGCAAGCAGAAGAATTTAATGTATAGCATGAATATTTGTCTTGGTGAGCTACAGCCCTATTAGGTTCTGCTGTGTTCAAACACAGTAGAACAGTTTTGTCCTGACTAGTGGGGAATTAATTTATCTTCTAAAAATGAGGAGTTTTCAACTTGTTGATGAGTTTTCTGTGGAACTGGTAACTTCTTAAGGAGCTACTCAGATTATAATTGATATTCTAAGCCACTAAATAAGGACTGAGGTCATGTTTTCTAAAGATGTGCACTGGTGGAATCAAAGATGAAATTGAATAAATACTTTAAAGCATTTGTACTTTTTATACAGTTTGAAGTGGCACATAGTGAAGCCCACAGAATGCAGGTGGGACTCTCTATATCCTGATTGTCATTGAGTATGTAAAGAGCAGCATTCATATGCATAATTTCTGTAAATTTATGGATGTGAAGAACTTCTGAAATTGTGCTATGAATTGAGTCTGTTCAACTCTACCGAGCTATAGTTCACTGCTTTTGCAGTTACAGAAAGTTTTCTTTATAAAGAGAGACATCTTTATTCATCTGTAGAAAAGACGAGAATGTATGAAGACTTCTGTGGTGATTTTTAAATTATGAGTCCCTTCAGACTTTTCAAATGAAAATCTATAGTACTGTTGGAGACAGCTCTGAACACTTCCAAAAGGAGCAAAATTAATGTTATGTGCTGTGGGTTGCACTGGAGACAGTCACAGTTTATTTTCACTGTTTTTTTCAGGCAAATTCTTTGTAAAACTAGGGGTGCATGAAGGAAAGTACTTTTTAAAACTTGATCTGATATTATGACAGATGCTTAACTCTTACTGTGAGATTTGGAGGCTTGCTTTTTTGTAGCACGTGGTAACATGAGTGTGTGTTCCTGGTCAGCTCTCCTAGGGATAGTTTTTAGCCTCTGACATAGGGATGAATGGTGATCCTTGTGGCAGGAAGAAAGGTTGGTGCTTCCTGTGCAGCACTACACTTCGCATTGCAAAGTCCTGCCTTGGTGTAGCAGTGTCTGATGATCTGGTGTTCAGTCTGTCCCATACACCTCGGGCTCTCTGACTCTTCTTTGGCATTGGAACTCACTGTTTGCTCTTAACGTAGGGATTGGTTTCTCATGTCAGTATACTTAAACTTTATACTTCAGCCATATCCTATTCCATTTATATGTGGTGCTTGCCTTAATTTGGTTTGTGTTCCTTGTTGTGTTTTATTTATTAATAAATTTATTTATTTATTGGGTAAACTGTTCAAGGACCTTTTTTCTTCTGTACTTTAATTGTTCACAGGAGGGAAGGTATCCCAGTGCTACTGCTGGTAATGGAGGTGTATTGATGAAAGACTGCTGCATCAGGCTGAGGAACAGAAATTAATGTCATTTGGTGGAGGCTGGGCTGTATTTCTGGGCTGTTAAAGAATTTATTTGGTTTTGGTTTAGAGACTTTTCAGATTCACTTCAAGAGTGGGGTCTGTGTTGGAAGGTGTTATCAGTGAGAAGTTACTGTGAAAGATGGAGTTGGTATAACAAGATCATAATATTATCCAACAGAAACTCCTTAAGGAGTTAATTATTTTTTTTTTCTAGCCTGGAAGCTGCATACACACCTTAAACCATCTCAGCTGTCTCCAGGTGTATCAATGTTGCCTGAGTAATTTGTGTATGGGCTAGGAAATACAACTCAGAGCCTACAGCAGATCAGTATCCTCCAGCAGTGGTGTCTGCAAGCTTGACAGGATGGTTTAGGGCATTTCAAACTACTTCCAGTGTCGGTGTGTAGTTAAATTAATTCCACAAGGAACCAGGCTTTTCTCCTGGTAGAACATGTTACTAACGTGACATGATAAATTGCTCCTGGTGGGTGCCCCCTCTAGACTCTGATGTCTCAAGAGAAGTCTGTTTGTAGGATCTCTTTAAACAATGATTGTAGTCTTGACAGTTTTGCTGTGGTTCCTAAACATTTTAGTTTTCTCAGTGTACACTTGGAGATGGTAATACATAAATGTCTTTATTTTTTTTTTTAGATTGTGAAGTAGAATTCATGATGTACTTTAATGCATGTAAAGCCATAGGGATTCTGTGGAATTTTCCCTTGAGAATTCTGGTTACCTGGTTTATGTGATATTTCAAAATTTATATTATTGGAAATGAAAGGTAAAAT